TCAGGTGTATTGAGATTTACTTATAAGTTTACTGGCATGTATGCACACTGGTCACTAATCACATGCCAATATTATAGGTATAACTGATATCCTATATCAGAGGCGATCTTCCAGATGGGCCTTTACAGGCCTCAGCCATGTAGCTATAGATGTTGGCTCCCAACATGTGTATCTGATTATTTTTTTGCCTTTTGCTACAATAATATCCTGTGGCTAAAATTACTGAATTTATTTTTTCTTTGTTCAAAAAATTTGCATTTCTCATTCATATGGACAAGCAGAATATGTAGAATTTAAATAGATTTATACATTCTATTTTCAAAAATTACTGTTGACTTTCTGGAAGGATCAAGTTTGTTTGGTTTCTTGCTTTCTTTGGCAAAATAGGAAACCTATGGGTTTTTTTGTTTTTTTATTTTTTTGACCTTCTAATAATTGCAAGTTATTAGATAAAATCTTTAATATATGCGTACATTTTCCCATTGTTTGTCATGCTGTAATATCTTTTGTGAATATCTGTAAATTCTGCTGTCAATTGCTATGTACAAGGGAAATATTGAGTGGCAGGATCTTTTCTAGGTATTTTTAGGACTCAACTGGACAGGTTTTGTTTGTCCATACAACATTGTTGAGTTCTAGAAAATAATAATCAAACCAATTTTTTTTCAAATGCATTTTTTTGTCTATGCAAGAAAAGAGAATGTCTGATAAATCTATTCCTTCATACATGTGAAATACAGAGAAATGCCCTTTAATTATGCTTTAGGCAAAAATAAAAAATAAAAAGGCCAGTGGCAGAAAAAGAATATGAATTAGATCTTTGAAAGTTCTATAGAACAATCTATTCTTATTATACTTTTCAACAAAACCACATATTTAAGAGTCTCTTAACACTGATGAGACATGTATGCAATAATTTTCAAATAAAAATGCTCCAAATTTAATGGAATAGGCCAGGCACTATTCTATGGGTTTTATGTTAATTATCATAACAATCCTGCAATCTAAACATTACAGTCACCACCCACATTCTTAAGATAAAGAAACTGAACCAGTAAAGTGAGATACTTACTCAAGCTGCACTGTGATCCAGTGGTATGGTCTTTGTCTGACTCAGGTACATATAGCTCTATATTCTGTGTCCTTACCTGTCCAGGATGAAGGTGGTAGATGCCAAAGATACACAGATACAAACAAAAGACAAAATGCAGTGCAGCTGCAATATTTAGGAAAGGTTTGGTAGATTTTGAGGCAACCACAGTAGTGCTTCTCTTGACCTTTCTTTTTATTTTATTTCAATAATACAGTACTAAAATTCAAATAAGCTGCAACCTCTCTCTTCCGGCCTTTGATACATGCTGCATGTGATTCTTTCTTTTTGGTCAATTATCTTCTCATCTTTTCAGTCTTGGAAACATCTACTCATTCTTCCAGGGCACGGTACATAGATCATTTCTTTGGAGAGCCTTCTCTCCCCACCAGAACTCGGCTTGCTGCCCCTCCTTATGTGTGTAGGTGAAACACTCTAGCACTTAACTCACTGTAGTTTTAATTGTAAGTCTCCTCACACTGATTGGAAATACTGTGTGGTAAATGTCATTATCTCTAGTGCTCAGACCTGTTCCCAGGTACTTCATAAAACTGAAACAAGACTTGAATAGGTGGAGTTGGACACAAGCAAGCTTGAGATTAGAGGTGGGATACAGTAGATGATAAGTTTACATTAATAATGTTTGTAACAAATTTTTTGATATATTATTTATGT